GGAAATGACAAATCCAGTTGGTCTTCCAACTGTCACTCTGCAGCATACCGATTGTTCCCACAGGGACAACAATGGACACGTACATGACCATGTGGTACATGTACATCCGCTGTTCCAAAAATAAGACTGTAGTAATGGCACACTACGGTATCTTCAATAAAGCCCTGAGCGGAAGGAAAGACGGAAGTAATGAAGCCCACGAAACTAAATGTATTCCTGTAGCATTATCAATCAAGTTGACTTTGTAGTCACATCCAGGTCAACTTCCTCAAAATTATGAATTTAAAAAATCTGCAAATAGTCAGTGATATTTTTGTGTCTTTATCCTGAACAAAAATACAGATAAAATGACTCAGGTATTTTTAAACCATAAATCCACCTTTCATTTTTACTGTCCACTTTGCAAAATGCCAGCTCCCATTGTGTTTTAACATCCATTTCGGTAAGTGCCATCCACTATCACACAACAGTTGCCGTTCACAACGAGGGGTGAACGGATGGCCAGATGAGACCCTGGGGATACCTGAACATTATTTTACACACTGTACATTCCGTAGGCTTAGAACTCCTAAATTTAGTGCTAACTTCTTCAAAATATGCAGCACCTAGTGTTGGACATGTGTCAGTACATGTACATGTTTACACACAGGTACATGTATCATGTCCATGTATATGGGTGTGTACAGCATAAATAAAGCGAGGCACATACTTTGCTGCACTGTTATAGTGTAAATAAGGTTTGAAGTACCGGTGCCTTCTGGTAGCACAGTGACTCTGTAAAGCGTACTTTACAGCATTGCCATCCACAAAAACCTCCTCCTGATCGGCTGATATTCCATCTGATGCATTCTTTGCATGCTACCCTCTCCAGCCTAAAAATAAGCTGTCTGTACTCTGACCCCAGCCAAGAATGCCAATGCCAGCCTAGACTAATGTTATCTGGTTCAGGCACCAGGGAAGTGGGTCGAAAGCATTTCAACATGAACACATCAATCATATGTCAATAAGATGTGGGCCCCCCCAAACGCACACAAACAATTTTCCTTTAACGTGGTGTAGCCCCTAACGCAGCCCACTTTTATTTTTAGCCTGTGTAGTATTTGTAAAAGCAATTACTTTCACAAAAAGTGAAATTTAATCAAGCTGCAATGTTCCTGCGCATAGTTTCTGTTTCCCTTTCAAAGTTCTGATGAAATTTTATTTTGGCCCCATTATGTTCATCATGCAGCTACTATGCTAAGCACCGCAAACACAATGACAATGTATCTTGTGTGCATGTAATGTACGTGTACATGTGCACTGGCCAGGTGCAAAGCAAGTTCCATGTACATGTACATGTGTACATTTTTCCTACAGTACCGGTGATTCCACAAGACCCCAACACTGTGCAGGTCATATTCCCCAAGGCATACTACTGAAGTGCAAGCTTGGCACAAATTGCAAGAAATTCATATCACTCTCTCAATACACTGCATGCATATAAACATTTGCACCGGTAACTGGTCTGTGCATTAGTTTTTAACACCTGACAAAACCAGGTGGCTCAGCTGTTGAATGATAAGTTGGTAACAGTCTCCACACCTAATGTACTGGTATGCAACATGACGAAAATAGGTCAAACTTTACGTATTTTACACAGGAACGAATAAGTACCCATTGCCCCCTCCCCTTAGATTGTCAGTCTTCACACAGGTTGACACAAGATTAATGCTGAATTTGAATTTTATGTCCCTTAAAACAAGCCAGAGTGACTAAATCTCTCAATAATCTCCTATCTCCATGGTGTACTTGCATACACCTAGAAGACAAAAACCCAGAAAAGGAAAAACACACGTACAGTGTATAGTATTAATTAATGTGTATACACCGTATAAGTATGTACTCCTGTACAACTAAATGGGTAGCCAGTGTAGGCCTACCATGACCAGTACATGTGCATCAATTCTACTGGCCAACCCTGTACAATGTCCCCCAAATCAGGAAGTGAACCCATTGGGTGTCCTCCAGAAAGAAGCTGTGCACGGTCAACCAACCATATGGGGTCAAAGTCACTCCACTGGGCCAAATGTACTGTACATGTACTTAGTTTGTACAAGTAAAATCAGATCCTACGAAATCTGTTCTCAATGTACATGTATCAATGACGTGTATACTCACAAGACAATGGAACTTAATGCACTATATGTTTGGGAAAAGAATGTGGTTTGCGACATTTTACTTCATGGTGGTTGAAATGATCCAGCATGAAAATAGAGCCAATAACAGCTGTCATCTGAAAACAGTTAATTCAAGTACATGTAAATAAATCCTGATTCTCTTTCATCAGAACAATTCTGATTTCCATTTTTTCTGCAAATGCTTGGGAGAGTCGATGAATCATGAACAATCAACAGTTTCTAAAGCATTCTTCCTTTAAACTTCTTCTCTTGATAAAGAAGTGTACAGTTTTGATTTAAATTTTGTTAAAGGCAGTAGATGTCTACGAACTGATTGCTTTTTTCTGTGGGTGATTTTGGGAAGACCCTTTACACGATTCAATGCTCACACTGCCAATGTGACTTTGTATTCCAACTTGGAATATTTTTAGACCAAACACTATTTCATGAATGTTCCAACAACAAATATTATTGCCTTTTCCAGAGTTTTTTTTTAAACGGGTGGATCAGGGAGATTTCACCCTGCCCGGTGGTTGTGTGGTCCTGAATCTGATTTCTGCATATTGAAGGTTACCCACCATGTCGCTGCCAATGCTCATTGCCCTGTTCCATGTAGTCATTCATTTGCTGCAAATGTTTCATGTCAAATTCACTTTGCTTTGTATGAACTAGCCTTTATCATTTGAATTGCCAGGTACATGTAAAACCAATAATTCTGGAGGGCAATGGGACTGTACATGTATCTGTCAATATCAGCAATTTATTTTCCTATTTAACAGTTCATGGATGCCAGTCTAGTTCTTGTCTAAAGCCTGAAAATAAGGCCAGAGATGCTAAACCTTTGATACATGTAAAGTAATTAGGGTCTGAGATTAGTCAAACACTTTCACTGAAGAAGCCTGAATTGGCAACCAGTTCCCTGACAGTTCTTCCCCTCAACCACAATTTTTCAAAAAAAAAATAAAAAAAATTCAACAGCTGAAACATATACATTTGGTTGTGAAGATACAGGTATCCTTCAGCAGTGCTGAAATTCTGTGCATCTCAGTTGTTTTGAGCTTAACCCAAACAGTCTTTAATCCTCCAATTTCACTATGATGTACATGTACGTATGGACACCCTAGGCATTAAAAGTTAAAAGGAAGCCAAGAAGTGAGGAAAGCTACCTGTTCCATGTTGTTAGAATCTATGGTATGGATTGCCCCTTGATGCTACAAAGAGCCTAAGTCAAGGAGATTTATCCTCTGCCCTAAATGTACATACATGAATCCATTTGGACTATAGTCATGTTATTGCGGTACATGTACATACTTGCAGATTGCAAAAATTATTCAGTCTGACTGCCGCTCAAGTGATCCACAGATTTAATATGAAATGGGATTAATAATCCACCTTGTTTGAAGGAGATATGCCAGAAGTATTGGCCAAATCTACAATGGAATACATGTGCACAGGTACATACATGTACATGCACATGTATGTAAGCTTTTAATCTCCAACATGCAGCATCATTGAAAGTACAGATATGCCACTCTTTCTAATTCTTGAATCTGGATGAGTGTAACTACATGTAGTACCTGAGTAGGTCAAAAGCTCTTTTGACATAAAAAAATAACTGCTTGGCAAGAAATCCATTTTCAGCCAGAACTACCTGAACAAGCAGGATTTCAGGACTTTAAAGATACCCCCCTCCAAAAAACGGAAACAAATAAAAAGAGGGCATCTGCATAGGCCTATAGGCCATATTCTTTGAAAACTTTTGACTCAATTACAATGGTTTAAAACAGGCACAGATCGGACGTGCCTGGCCTGACGTCACATTAAATTGACTATGCACAGCGCACATCGTCAGCCTACAGGTAATTGGGTACGTGCATAATCCAAATCTAGGCAAAAATATACGTCCTGTCTTTGGCAAATTTTCAAATACTGGAGACTCTTTAAGTCATTTTGACTTGATATATATTTGAATTTATATGACTGGGCTGTATAAAAAACGTACATAGGCCTAAATCTTTTCTTGGGATCACATGTTTGGTGACGTACTACCCTGTCAATTTTGTTCAATTACGTGTATGCGGCCTCCATAATTTTTACAAACCATCCAAACTTGTCAAGTGCGAGTCTAAAATCTGGCTCCCATTCCTTTTCCAGAAATTGTCTCAATATGTTGTTTATACAGCAAGAGGCTTACATCTTACTTTTCCGAACGCAAGTTGTCAGAAAATATTGGAGACCAATCCAGAGGACAGATGCTTTCATCTGAAAACGATCTTGCAATAGGGCCTACCAATATAAAATATCAGTGAAAAAGTACTGTATCTTCATAAGGTAAAGATAGAGGCTTTTTTTTGCCAATGCAATGTACTGTAATTTAGATTTCCCTCCACTTTAAATAAAAATCAATCCCTTATCCTTGGTGTAGCACCAGCAGGCGTAGTCTACCGGCAGGCCTTCATGTACATTTACATACCCCTCAAGCATGTCAAAAGTAGAGACAAGCCACTATCAAAACGTAAAACTTTTAATACTGCCAAATTTATTAGTTTTTGATGTCATTCTAATTTCTGTTTAAAATAAACTCCTGATAGTGACACACTTAAAAAAAATGAGTGTCGTAACAAACCATGGTGGGGGGCAGGGCAGTTGCTTCTTCCGGGTCATTCGTTCTCGTGCGTCAAAACGGTAGAACATAATTTACACGTACGGTATATCATGTACTGTGCATGCACTGTATATGTACATGTACGTGAATGTTTTAATTCACGCCGGCTTCTTAACTTGCGGTTGCACTCGAAATAGCGTGCGCGGTGCAGCCCACTCACAAAATATGCAACATTTTACCTTCTTTTGCTGCTTTTCCCACTCAGGATCGAGCACGCTCTGACGATCCCAGTCCTCTTCTTGTTCCATATAGCCATCTGCCTGTTCAAAGCTCATGTTTGTAGATGTTCTTGTTGACTGTCTGCTCAGAAAGTTTGGATTTCCCCAAGATTTTGGTCAAATAGCCACAGATTGTCAGTACGAAAGTGCGACCCACTCGTTCATATCCCAGAGGCCACGCCAGTATGCCATGTGACCCGGAAGTAGCTAAGGAGAATTTATGTATGATCATCTCAATACTTTATAATTATTCGTAGACCTACTTATATCACAGAGTAAGGAAACTGTTTCCTGCTCTATGCTTACATTAAGCATTTTAATTTTTGTTTAATTAATATAAATCTATACTTAATTGCAGTATATTTTGAAGTATCTTATTCTCATTAATTTACGGAGTAAGATTTTTAGGTCATTACCTTCAACAAGCATAAGTCCCTCACACATGGCTAATGTAACACTGTAAGTGTAACAAAACGGGTGTTTTGAGACTCATTTCTAATTAGCTACAAATTCAGAAATTATTACATATTTTTTTTCCACGATAACCATGGAGTTTCGATAAAGTCAATGAGAAATATCACAACCCGTCGTCATTGACCTTTCCAAAGTTTGTTAGTAAGTTCTCCCTACTCAACAGGTTAAGATGTAATTCAAGGGCCATATTAGGACCCTGCAATTTTAATGACAGAGCTTGCATTATCTAGGTAGCCGAGAGGGCCGGCCATGCATACCACTTCTTTTCAAAGTAAATCAAGCGTGAATGATAGCTTCAATTTGTTTCCAGCCATTGTTTTATGAGGTTAGATTTACGAATATGTTAACATAATTGCAGAAAGCTTCCTCCGTGCCGGACACTTAAATTTTATAAAAATTCACACTACTGATCAAGAGTAGAATTGAACTAGTGTTGAGGGCGCGCTTTTACGACAATGGAAAAAAGTCGAAGCCAAACTTCAAACGTTATGACGAGCAATAGGGGGTGCTCTTCCGTCAAATGCATTAATTTCAGCCGACTTTTGGCATTTCTCAAACTCGTTGAGCCCTTATTCACTCCCACGGTTCACATTCAGTACATATGAATAACGTGACTTGAAATTTTGAAAAGTGTCTAGCAAAGGAAACGTCCATTCAACTTGCAAATTAGTTTGTCCCTCAAAAGAACAAAATATAAAAGCACCCTCCATAAAAAGCTAATAGGCCTAATTATAAACGTTTTAAAATACCAACGCACAATAAGGGCTTACATGTAAAGCATGAATTCCCCGACAAGATTCTATTTTACACAGTTCACAGACTGCTGAACAGTTCCCAATTTTTTTTCCATGAATACATTAATTTGTGTTGAAATGAGTTATTCATGTTAATGAAATTAAAAGGGAAGAAGTGATTACAAATGTTAATATGTACACTGTAATTCTCTCTAGCGAAAGCATTATCATGCATATGAGCGCTTTTGTAGACTAACAACAGATGAAAACGTTTAACAACGTTTCTGGATTCGCCGCTGGGTAATCCTTGTCATTCGGACGGCAATGACGGTTGATGATGAAGGCGCCGCCAATCACGTCCAAGCGGCGGCCACTCGGAAAATTTTATCGTATGCCAGCAAAACGTACTTCCCGAGACACATCACATTTATTACTGATCAAATCTTTTTTTATGAACAAGAGTTTTTTGAAATTGCTATTAAAAACAAAAACCCCTTTGAAAATCATAACTTCAGGAAAACTTCACATTATTTCTCGAAACATTTTGATGTTAGTTCATGGAACGCTACATTCCTGGCTTCTGGGAACTTCAGAAAAAGGCAAGTTAATCCGTCTCCACAAATGTACTATGCGTTGGGGAGAGCAGGTTTACTTTGCTTGTTTTACCATTTGATCGACGTACAATATAGTGATATCACGCTTTGCGAGCTTCTCTGGCGCAGAATGCGATGAACTAGTGAGGTGGGACGCGATCCGCGAGTCCCCAAAGGGAAGCGCCTACGTAAATAAAGCGTGACGTCATTATGACTCCGTTCACCAACTTTCTTGCGTGGGCGCGCAAACTCAACCTTCTGCTTTCTAGTGTAAATGTATGAACATGCACTCGACCACTGAGCTAGGGAGAGAGTCCGGAGTCAAATAATTTGGAAATTTTTAATTGAACCTTTTCATAGTATTTCTGGGGAGTACGGCTACGTTTTGGGTTTTTCACGTTTTGGGAGGGAAAATGAAATACAAAAATATTGCCTTTCTCTTGTTCTATATATATTAAGTTTTATCTTAATCATTTATTTACTTTTGTTTCTTTTGAGGGGATGACCTCCACTGCTACCCTCATCCACCCTTGAGACTATCTCTGTATTATCAGCAAAGAGGTCAGAGTAAAAGGACTCAGCATTTAGGGATACCGTGTAAAGCACTATACTATAAACAGGGTGATAAACCGGAAAATTAAAGTACCAACATCACCAAATTCATTTGATATCAAACGAAACAGTTGGACAGCTACTACACGTTACGTGTACAGTGTATGTAGACGTAGCTTTTTACTACATAATTATATCATTTATAGTATTACATGTATTTGTCATTTCATTACACGTGAATTAAAACCACAATTGTGGGCACCCAATGTATATAGTTTCAAAAATTTCAAAAGGAACTTACCATACAAGTAGACATTATTTAAAACAAATATAAATTAAATATGCTAGAATACAAGCCGTTGAGTTTCACTGTGAAGAGGCCTTTGATTCTAATAAAACTTTTTCCCCCCAATTTCACGCTGACAGTAAAGAGGTAACAACGGACACAAGAGTCACATGCGCAATGGGTTTGGTTTTCCTACAGGACGCTATGAAGAAAAGATGCAGATAAGTTACACCACAGAATTGCTGAATTTAAGAAAACGATGCATTTACTTGAAAAATTCTTACAGCAAAACTCCATATGGTCCTGTGTAGATGCACATTGCACATACATGTACATGTATACCATAAAAATTGTTCACGTATAAAATGAGTGTGTGCTGGAGCCAAATGCACAATGACAGGTACCAAGGGCAGAACCAGTATCTTTACGGGGGGGGGGGGGATCTGGTACCATTCGGGCGGGGGAGGGAGCAGATCCAGTGTCTTTGGGGGGGGGAACCTCACAGGGTAGCTGCAATTGATTTTGTTACAATGCAAACCTCAAATATGCACTCTTGTGAGAAAAGTAAACCCTCATTTTCAATTCCTGTTTCACTGTTTCAAAGGATCTTTTGTATGCCAATGATTTTCAAATTCATGAGCAACTGTGATGTCATCCAAAGAGGAAAACTGCAATGTAACACTGGTTTGTGCATGAAAACTCCTTTCTAGATTTCTCAATTTCCTCTTCTTTGGTACTTTAGTGTTTGTAGATCACTAGTAATAAACAAGCAATGAACCCTTTCTCTGAAATCTTAACTTGTGAGTAAAGTATTGGTTCACAGTATGAAAAGAAAAACCTGCCACAAGATGAAATCACAGCGACAGTCCCCTCAGTTGTCCATGAAAGAATGGATAGTTTGAAATGTTAACAAAAGTTTACTATTTAATGCGTTTAACTTAATATGGATGCCCAATAGTTTTTGCATACATGTATATAGAAGAATGTACAATTGCGGAAGAAGGCAAAATATCCCATGAAATCACCATCTCCTCATTATAAATGTATTAAAAAACCCTGGTTTGGGCCCCTTTAGGGGGTAAGCATGGCACCTGTGCCCCCCTCCTGTCTAAAGAATGATTAGTATCAGTGTCTAATAATTTGCGTACTTCATGGAAATTCGACACATTCCGGGTAGGGGCTTGAAGGCTTCATGGTATGATTTTTAATGGGATTATCTTAATCAGGCAGAACCCAAAAACAAAATGTGTATATATCTACAGTTATTCTAAACCAAAGCTCTAAAAAGGCTCGCCTGCTCTTCTGAAATGGGAAAATTGATTGTGTGTGACTGATTAGCCACAGACGTTACATATAGTTTTGTCTGTGCCCCAAACATTAGTTGACCCCTAAGGTCAATTTTACCTGGTGTTTAGGACAAATTTAACACACTGTGAATAACCAGGCAAAATCCACCAGTCAGCTGTAGGCTCACCACTGACTTCCCACTTAAAATTTGCAATGCCCATGTCTCCTAACAGTACAACAAAGTTTGGACTGGTCCCACCTCCTGGATGTTTATCACTCAGCACCCATAGTGAGGGACTAAGAGTATGGCTTAGTTACTTTTCCCCAGATAATATAAAAAAGCAAGACTCAACAGTCCATGCCTATTACAGCGAAAACATAAAATTGCTATGAACGTTTGACAAGCCTCTGCTAATCTGTGTCTGAATCATCTGCAGCTTTTTTCTCCTTGTGCGATCTGTACCGCCTTTTCGCTCTTGCTGTCTGATTTCTAAACTTGTGGAATTCGTTCCGGTGGTGGCTGTCATACTGTTGATCAAGCTCATTTGGAGTTTGACAAGTGGCGGGATCTGATGAACAACCAACTGACTGATGATTTGAAAATGACACTCTGCTGCTGCACCCGGCTAGAACCGAACTGTCCCCAGTTGAGTTAAGACCCAACGATGACTGGCTATTGAACAACACATTGTTGGTGCTGCTGGCACAAAATGAGGGCAAACTGTGCGCGAATTCGGGCCTAATGACTGATGAAGATGTTGCAGCATTTGTCGGTTGGATTAGAGTATTAGAGGAACTGTCATTATTGGGAGTTCTTTGATGATGATCACATTGCGCTGTACTGCATGAAGCATAATTTTGATCTGGCATGCTGTTATTTGTAACAGATTCCTGTGCTGTCTGGCTACTCTCGCCTAGTGAATTCCCGATGCCAAGGCTGTTTTCCTGTTGCAGTCTACGCCTCATGCGGCTGATTGCCAGTCGTTGGTGGGATGCCATACTCCTCTGCTGCAGGTGCTCAGTAATGCGGTTCAAGTCTTCTTCTCTCGTGCTAGGGCGACTGAGTCCATCTTCTGATCGGGCTATCTTTCCCTTAAGCACTCGGGATATGGCCATCCGCTGCTTGAGGTTGATGAATCGGTCATTATGCATCAGATCTGAGCTTTGGTGGTTGCGGTCCACATCTGTTCCACCTTTCCGCTTTTTCTTCATCAGGAATCGTCGCAGGAGTCGACTCCTCGCCCTGAGCTCCTGAAAGTTGACATCCTCATCGCTACTTGACGGATCTGGGGAGGTTGTGGAGCTGCTGGGTCTGTGTCTGCTGTGCTTCCTTTTGGAGGATGCTGTCTTCCCTGAGTCCCGATTATTACTCTTGGCAGTGCCATTTTCCACTGACTCGTCATGTCTTGAACAGCCAGCAACCTCATCCACGGAAGCACTGTTCCGATCTTGCTCAGCTGCTCTTCTTGGTATGTTTGATTCCTCACCTGGCGTGCTGTTACTGTCGCTCCTGTCTGCAGCTGCATTTGTACCATTAGCAGCTGCTTGGTCTCGGGGAGAAGTGGTGAGATTCCACAACGTCCTCAGCTGAGATGTTGGGCTGGGGTCGGCGTTTTCCCTCAACAGCCTGCTCAAAACTGTGGCATGCATTGATGAGATGGAGGATCCACTCTCCGAGTCCCTGCTGTCCTCGCTATCGTCACCCTCGCCAGCAAAGTGCAGGTACAAACTCTCCGGACTCATGTCGCTGTCGTCAGAGTCGCTGAAGCTTCGGTTGATTTCACGCTGAACCAGGGAATCAAAGAAAGCGATCATGCGGGGATCCTCCTCCATTGACTGGTCCGAGTAATCGTGGGACAGGGCTGAGCCACTGTTGATGACAAGATCTATGTACTGCTGGTGGGAGAACATCCTCCGGGGTGAATCTTCATCAGGCCTGATGTTAGGCAAAGTGAATGGACTCCACAGCTGGAACAAAAAGATCGACTTGACACATGTACATTAGGACTACACAAGTTCTGTGTGCTTATACAAAATGATGATCAGATGTCTGCATCACATCATTGGAATAGACCCAAGTGATGCCTTTCCATGTTTATGAACAGTTCTGGGAAATCTGAGGTCATCATCCATTTGCAAACCATTAAAACACTTCAAAATACTGCAACACCTTAAGTTTTAAACATCAAAATTTAAAGCCAAGGGCATATGCAAAAGGCATATATGTTAATAAATTTGGATCACCTTAATCTTATTACTGTCATGACAGATGGGTCTCTACTCAGAAGGCATTACAGTGATAGACATCTCACCTTGATGATTTTTTCCACACCTGACGAGACAATGTTGTGTGTGAAGGCATTGAATCGTACTTGATTGACAATGGAACGATGACCTTGCAGTACCAGCTTCGCTTCATCAACCCACATCACTGGAAATTGGAAAGCAAGAATTAAACTCACAGGCAAACTGACCGTCTCCTAAATACTTCGGGAATCAAGCTTGACACAAGATTTTTGACATACTCGTCCAAGTCTAGTGAAATAATTATAAGAGTGAAATGAGTATGATGTTGACAAAATTACACTGGCAAAATATGTTTTATTTAACGATGTATTTGCTAAGCAGGCAAACCATGCCATCTACAGGAAGTCACTGCACTTCTAGGGTTTATCCTAAGTTTCCAAGGTCCAACTAATCTCACTTTACATACACAGAGTACCTTGCTGTTGGGAGGACAGCACTTAGCCTGCTATTAACATCTTGGCTTTTGCATGATTAAAATAATTATCCCTATGCTTCAGTATCTCATGGTTCACCTTTGACACTCATCTGACTTTAGCAAACTGGTTTCCATGCATTGGGATCAAACACTTTGCTACACCAGAGTGCCAACACAATGAGCACTACTGAAGGATCTAGCGTGCATCATTTGCTGAAATTATACAAAGCAAGGAAGGCTTGGCGAACAACTGAAAATGCTGCTACTGGTACAGCCCCTTAGGTCAGAGTTTTCACTTGTGACATGAATTAGGAGTGATTACTGCGGGGCCATCCTCTTCGCAAGCAGGTGGCACGTGGGTGTTAAATTCTCTCGGACCAATGGGGTGTTCTGCCTTGCCAAAATAACCATGTGCACTCAAGTTAAGACCCATGCGCGAGTCTGATGGCCCCCAAGAATAGCGTCTCCTCGGATTTGTCTAAATTTTATCTACATGAGAGCTGCATTAGTAAATGAATTCGACGCTATTGCACGAGACTTACCGTCTTCACTTGGTTCAGGGACCTCCCACATGTAGAGGTTGAAGTCGTCTGATCCAGATAGAACATACTGTAACAAGACACAATCACAAATCACTTCTACTGGGGATAATCTTGATTGCCAATGGAAGAATGGAATTATTGATTGGGAAGTTAGGGAGATCTCATTGAAAAAAAAGAGTGTCCTTCCTCTGTATTGCTGTGACGCTTAAACTGTTATTGTGTCAAAATAATGTTGAACCCCAAATTTCCGGAAGGGAACCAAATGAAAATTTCAACTCTTCAAGTTCACCTTTCACCATCTTACTGTAACAACCGTCAAGTTGAAACTCTGTACTTCCGAAAGCAAGACTCTAATATGACCACTGGTGTATTTATATCTACCGGTAGCATATCAAGAGATGAATCCAAAAGGTTGACTGTTTTTCAGTCATGACAGAGCATTCTTCACGACACAACACACAGATTATGATTTGTGTTGTTTCAATATAAACAGTTTTATCAGCACTGTTGGCAGGTGACTTTTAATACTTCAGTAATTAATCATTCTTCAATCCTTTGATTTTCATACAGTTTTTCAGATATCCAAATATTTGATCGATTATTGAATCTTACACGTATTTTCTGAATTTGAATATTCGAATGCAAAATTCATGAAAAGGGAGAATTTTCTTCTGTTTTAAATGAGAACAATTGCACTATAGAAGCTTGTTTCAAGCAGACTCAAATGAAAAGCAACAAAAATCTTAAGATTCAAACAGTAAATTATTCATTAAAACTAAAATAGGAAATTATGGTGATTACAATGTTCAATTGTCTGTTATTCCATCTGATTTTGTATATGGTTTGTTCATCAACAATCTGCCGGTTGGTACGACCAAATGTTCGATCGAATTTGAGGTCGAATATTCGAAAAGTGGATTATTTGAGTTGACTCAGCCGTAGTAAATTGAGAAACTGGTAACAAGTGAAATACACAATCATTTTAACTGCATTTTCCTTAGCAAATGCTTTCAATGCTTGGCATATTCAGTTGAGAATCTCCTTGAAAATGACCCCCACTGTCTTTCGGTACTGAAACAGAGTCTACCAAAAATGAAGTGGCCTCTACAGAGCACGTCCATCAACAGTGACCACAGTGCTTATGTATCATGCAAAGAGCACACTTTGCTCCTTGGAAAGTCAGAATTCTGTGCTGGTGAAGTCCATCTTCTGTCACATTACCTGATCTTTATCTCCAGCAAAAGTGCAACTCTTCATGGTGCAGGAATTGTAATAGCCGGAATGGTTGAACTGAACAGCAGCAGCACTACTGTGCACGTTGTACACCACAGGGGGTAGTCGTCTGCGTAGTGCTACTAGTCTGGTTCCCAGCTGGTTGAAGCGTACGCTCATAGCACTCTGTTGGGTGTATGTACTACCATAGCGAACGAGGCAGCTGGCAAAAGCAGACGTACACACACAAAGGATAAAGTACACAAACACACTTGCACACATATTCCTTTATTATATTCCACACGTATTTCTTTTCTCTTTCTCTCAGCAAACATCTTGGACTACTTTTGAGATCCAGGTTGAGAAGGGAATACTATTTTTCACTACTCCTTTCCCATGTGCAGTGGACTGAGTAGAATAGTACCAATGGGTTTATGTGGGGTATTTAACCACCCACCTAATACAAGTGCCCTTTCCCCCATACGGCGTCAGTGCCTTTTTTTAAACCCTGTCCTTAATCTTTCATCATAACAAGTGCCCTGCTTTTCTGCGTAAGTGCCTTTTTCAATAAGCACACTATTTACACAGTGCCCTTTCATAATGTCACACTGAACGTGGAAAAAATACTCGCTCAGCCACCACATATCGTAAAGTCCAGCGTCCAGTGCCACCATTAAAAGATGGCGTCAAGGCGCCCTCTCCTGTTGGATACTACAGAGGTCCGGTTACTGGTGAAAAAGCCATGTGTACCTTTCTGTAGGGATGTCAAGTTCTCTATGTCACCTTTAACCCCTGCCCCAATCAAAATGACCTAGCTGCCCCACCGATGTACATTCAAGCCCTTCCACAAAGCTTCATGTTGAGGTAATACTGACCTCTTAGGAACTCGTAAGTCCCAGAGTGCCACTCCTTCTTTGGAATTTGCCGTAGCTATGAACTCGGGTTCCACGGGGTGATATACGACAGCGTAGAAAGCTGTTTCGGAGCTGGCTATCACAATTGGTTCTGCGAAGCGGACAATAAATGTAAACATGTAAAATTTTCACAAAGGCATGTACATGCACTTATTGGTTATGCCACCTGTTTAACCCTATCTGCCCTGAGCAGAAGCACCCCCTCATCGGTTGAAAGGAGCCATGCTGGTAGGCAGCGTTCAATTGTTGGAGGCAATGCAACTGCAACGCTTGTATTTCATAGTCGTTTGTGAACCAGCAATGTGCAGTTACGACAAAAAGGAGCCTCTGTTGCTAGGAAAATTGCGCCCTCTCTTGGTCCAGCTCAAGGCCCATAAGAGGCACTTGTCACAACAGTCTCGCACTCCTCCTGAAGATGAACAGACTTTGCCATTTGAAATGCCGAGCATACTCTCACAACCTGTTCTTTTAAGAACCACACTTTTCAAAGAGACACATGTACATGTGCTTGGTTGTGTCTGTAAGCCGTCATCTACTGTATCAAAGAGCCTGCAATGCAGTGGCTATTCCATGTCCATCTAGATGGGTCATTCTATAAATTTGGGGTCCATTGTTAACCCGTCCCTGTTATGTCTGGCATCTGATTTTTAATGTTTAGAACTCATTGTTTAATTTCCAAGACTGAATAAGTACTGCAAATTAGCTCCCAAACAAATAAAAATAGTTTGAAATTAATTTCAGTGATACATCCCCTGTCAAACATGTCAGATGGTTTTTTGTACATGTCAGAGGTAACAGGGACAGAAAAAGTCACACTTTGGACCCCAAATTTGTAGAATGACCCAGATGTAAAATGACAGGTATCTTAAAACCCAAGGTACAAGTCGGAAAAAGAAATTCTAATTCAACTGAGAATACCCTCTGAGCCAGAGTGTGCTCAGCTGCTACCTGCAGGTTACCTTGGTGGCTGGGAACCCTTGTATCCCACAGCAAGACCCGTCCATCCGCACAAGCACTTGTGAAGATATGGCTGTCCCTTGGATCAACTGCAAGGCCATACACGGCATCTTCATGAAGAAATACATCCAATGTGTCCTTCCTACGCAAAAAAAATCCAGAAAAATAACAGCACTGGAGTGTACATGAATTTGCACGTATGTTTACATGTACATGTGTATAGAAAGACTATTGTTCAAAACAATTAAAATTGATAGCATTTTCAAATAGCGATATATTTGACAAAAACAATAAAAGGGGACAATATGATCCCTATTTTGTTTCTAACAGCCATTTAGACGTCTTTGAGGTACACGCACCGGCATTACACAGACTTTACAACTTCAAAGTACAAAGCGTGATGAATCCAACAATTTTCCCAGCAATGAGCACAGTACATGCACATGCAGCCATCCCTGACACACAATGTAATACCATCCAATGCACTGGGATTCTCTTTACCTGCACAAGGTACATGTAGGCGTAATCCTTAACTTCAAGATTGAAATTGTGAACCATGCCATGTACCCTTTACCCACAACCTTAAAAGGTGCTTTGGGCATGTGTGCCTGAGTTTGATACAACCACTCTCAAATGTGGCTCTGTTTTACGGTGGCACAGTATTGGATTTGGGTACAATTCACAGATCTTGGGGGAAAAACCAGAATTGGCAAGAAAGCTGGTACCTGTGAATATCATGGACCAAAACTTGATCATCATTTCCTCCGGAGTATATCCTGCTATTTTGACTGTCAAACGCCAGCGAAAAGATGTTGGAATGATGCTCCCCGACCATCACCTCAAACTTCTTGTCCAATGACAGTGCTTCCTGGACATTCCAGAGTAGGACACGCCTGTCATCTCCACCTGTTGTATGCGAATCATGTCTTTAAATTACAGAAATAGAACAAAGGGGCCAGAACATCTCTCTTTCTCTCTTCAAATGTGAATTAATGTTGTAATTTGTTTGCATTTCCCCTATATTAGTGCACATTCAGACCCTTCATGTTGATAACATTATTTACTGCCTCCAATGTTTGTATTAAAAAAAATTAGGTTTGTACATGTACATGGAAATGTGAGACAGCTTGCATGGCTACTGAAATGTATTACACAAGTATGGCAAAACCAAACTAATCATGCTGTACATGTACATGTACATGTAGGGCCAATATGCTACAGATTTCTGCGGCTTACTTAATACTAAGATACGTACATGTACATCATTGTACTTCAGAGGAGTTGTGCTTTTTCTAGAATGTTTTTGTAACATAAATTCAATCAAGTTAATAGGTCACTTGCAAGTTTATGGCAAGTTTCTGTGCATTGTACATGTACATGTACATTGTATATGTACCGGTACATGTTTGTACAAACCCTACATGTACATGTACACGTACCAATGCTTATCCTGAAGGCAATTTCTAATGTTGCATGTACATGTAAGCACATACATGTACATGTACACTGTATGTATTTTATTCTGGGCAATGTTTTCCCTTGGAATACAGTATGTTTGTATGAAATTGAAACTGTGTGGTTACACATTGTACAGTGTAACAGCGCTATCAACTTGAGTCCAGCACTGCTTCTTGACAGGCCTGTTTGACTTACAGGTAGCATGCTTAGGGGCTGTGTATAATTTTCATCATTTTCACAACTGTACAAACTGTGAGGGGGGGTTAAAGACCCCGTGCAGGCTTTCTCTGCATATGAAAAATGATGATCTGTCAATGGATCCATCCGCTCTCCATCCATCATCATTTTTTGCCCGCTGATGTACACCTTGGAGGGGGAGCAAGGGGGTAGTGTAAAGTTTACTTTTTATACACATATAAAAATGATAAGAATTATGGATGGCCCTTATGAGACAGTACTGTACATACTGAATGTCAGTGTTTCTGGATTCCACTGTTTAAACACAACCACATGTACAGCGGGCATTATTACTTGTATGGATCCCTTAGTGACCTCACACGAACATGTACAGTATTGACTGAAAGAAGGGGGAACAGATTTATAAGGCAGATATCGGTCATGGTCCCTTAACCATCCCTCCTACATATCTGCTATGTCTGTTGAGCAAAATCATCTGAGCAGGATTCCAGTACGGTACACAATGTACCAGTACACGTACACAACATGCCTCTATACAGCAAGTCTAGTCCGAGCCAATTTGGCTCATCAGGCAGGTGCTTACATTGTATCTCTGGTTTCCTTGGCATGAAATGACTGAGAACATTTCTATTCCCCCTGGATGGGATGACAGTCCATCGCAAGTGGCTTCCCAGCTAATGCTGGTACCCATTTATAATCGTGGGTGGAGAGAGGCAAGCGGGGGTGGAGAGAGGCAAGCAGGGGTGAAGTGGCTTGCCGAGGGCCACAACGTACATGTACTGCCAGAATCTAGATTTGAATTTCCAAATCCTTTGATTGGAAGCTACAGACCCTAACCACTTGGCTACATGCCTCCGTGCCTCTGTAGATGATGCCAATAAATCCACTGAAAAATGAACAAGTACATGTACATGTGCACGTACATGGTGCATCACCTGTTTCTAGAACCTGCTCATATTTGGACATCTGAAAAATGGACAGGTAATGGTGATGACAGCCACAGTATCTATCACCACACAAGCGGTCCGATGCCCAACCTCATGTACATACATGTACATGTAAAAACTATGGATGCGAAGTGCATGTTGTACACATACAGGTAGCCCACAAAACTTAAGGACGATGAAGAATGTATGTACTGTATGGAAAATAAATTAATAAATGATAGCATTTTTGATTAGAAGTACACCCTCATTGGCTCAAAAGAGACGGGCTGGTGGGAAGTTTTCCAACCAGGCTCGTGCACGCGCCATGAACAGTATGTACAAGTATATGAAAAAATTACATGTAGGCATGGTACGTGTATGTACGTGTACAAACATTGTCCCAGCTTGATTCTGGAGGCCCAAAGTCAAACCAACGTGACCATGGGCAAGATCATGATACCACTTGGATGGCTATTTTCAGCTCACTATTTATTGAAGTGTTTTTATGACTTGATAAATGAATGTCCGTCAAACTTTCCCGTCTATCTGTTTTTCTTACACTGTAAATGCACAGGTACCGGTACATGTATGTCAGTACAATGTAGCTATACCTGTATGTACACTGCTACAGCATTTCCTTCCCTGGTGACACCATACATGTACTTTGTTGTCTACTTCTTATTTCACATCAGATTTTTGTGTTATTTCTTAGCCAATCGACCCCTATCCAACTCCCAAGTTCCCTGTCACGCCTGTAGCTGAGTAGCCACCTACATTATGAATGTTACACCCAAACTGTAGCACACTATAGCAAGCTGGTTGGGATGGGCCCAACTATAGTTGGGCCCATCCCAACTAACAAGCGTGCTATAGTTGGCCGTCCCAACTACAGCACAGAGGTCTGCTGTGCATGTGCCCAGCGTGTGCCAAAGTCATATTGTTTACATTGCCATGTCATAGATGATGTGCCATATTTTAGATGAACTATGTCCCAACTAGCGTTATAGTTGAGCAAGCCCAACTACAGCCCTACAGTTGGGACAGATGTTGTAGTTGGAGCGTTAACACATACTGTACATGTATCACCTTGTGCCCAGTGATTTTAATTAGGGGTATATTTTGAGTGGCAGTTATTCTGCAGTTACTCCTTATAATTTTCCATACATAAAGTCATCTAACCACCAGTATCACCAGCACCAACCAATTACCCCCAGAACTGTGAGAGCGGGGCGGACATACCCCCAGAACTGTGGGGTCCGACATCCACTCCTCCCCCACAAACCCCACAGAACATTTTCGCATTAGGCTATGCATGGCATTCAACAGGGCACAAACATCGATTCCATTTGAGTTGTGTACCCATAAAAATGTTGCTTCATTTCCCCAAAGTGTTTTATGTATGATTTCTTACAAACCTTTGTTTTGAGCACCAAGAAAGAAAAGGGCCAAAACCACCCGGTTTTCCAAAAAATGGTGCAAATATTTCCTGATCAGTGTCTGCGAGTCATGCGGTTCACATGGGTACATGTACATGTACTTGCAAAGACAAGCTGCGACCAAATGGTTGACTGCGGCTGCAATCGATACACAAGACATGGAAATTGGCTACAGCCACTTTCCGTACGTGTGTGTGTAATCATGGACCATTTACCCATGGATGTGCAACCCCGAGCGGCCCCAGCGCAAACAAATGTGCAACCTTGGTTCCATGCGTGTTACGGATTGTTATTAGCCCTGCAGGTGACTTTCTCGAAAAAACTCACAACCACAGGACACGCGTTGCAGCATGCAGCATGTACATTGCAGCCATGGTTATGCCAAGACGACGCGCTGACGCGGTGCTTACATGTAAATCTATTCGTTTTGACGAATAAATCTTTTATTGATTTCAAGGAGAAACGAAGTTTTAATGAGGCAAAATTCTTAGAATGTATAAGATGAAATATCTTGAGCAGCATATTTCTAGAAAGGGTGTACCCTGACTTGAAATATTAGAGGAAACAAAGTGGTAGACAGGATTACATGTTTAGAAAGTGTTACATAATCCAACTTAATTTCTGCTTTGATATTGTGCAGGCCGTAACACGCACTGAACCAGCTCTGAGCTTAAGTTGCACATCCCTGGGTAAATGGCCCGTGGTGTAATTCTTAGCCGCAGTGGTTGAAATGGCAGTTGGCTGCAGCGCTGGGGGTCACACTGACCAATCACAGGGCTCCTCATTATTTATGCCCAAATTAAGGTAGACAAGCAACAGCCGTTGGGTACCAGTGCACGTAAGCGCACTGTCCCACAGTGAACACTTCCTGATGAGCGGCTTTGTGCACCCAACGGCTGTTGCTTGTCTTCCTTCAATTTGGGCATAGATAATGAAGAGCCGTGACACATCACCACCAAAGACAAAAATGGGAAAATATAGTTGGACGTAAAGTTAATTCTTGCCATTGTTGTGGACTGTTTTCAGCCGTTCTCCAGTGCAGTTTGTACAGTGTGCATGCGCAACTTTTCGGCGTACAAGATTCCGAGTCGCGCACACGTACATCGAAACTACATGTTCTGACTGGAACCAGCGAAACTGAATTCTAAACGAATCTACAGGTTTCGAAAACGCTCACATAAAGCACGTAACGCACAATGTGGTTTTCAGCTATGAGTACCATTGATCTCTATGCCGAGTACACACAACATCGGGCTGGGGGCAAGGCTGTGGCGTGCATTGGTGTCAGTTGGCCTAGTTACCTGCACGCAAGCTGCGCCTACTACGGCCAGTACGGGAAAGTTAAAATTCACGATTTGTACAAATCCTGGCCATTTTTGAGCATGTATTACACCTGTATGTGTCAGGTAGACTTAAAATAGACAGACAAAAGGTGTCCGCAAAATTCGATAGAAGTTAAGGGACCCGGCAGTTCTATGTCGAGGCGAGAGGGTATTATCCAACAAGGCCACGGTACATTCTGTTACTAGCAATTTTCTAATATTTGTTAATTTGTTCCATTTTAAAAGTTATACAAAATACATTTTGTTAAAGATGGAGAACTTTTCCAGAAAGCGTCACCTAATTAAATATTTTTTTTAATAAACTAGACTGATATGAGAGTCAAAAACAGTGATTAACAATCATGATCTCTTGGGCCTGAATTTAAAAACGAAAAATCACCTACATGTACATTGAGGTTTAAAAACTTTGACACAGTCTAGCTATCTGTCCATTGCTCCAAAATCCAACTCATCCCAGCCAATTACCAAATCAGTCTGCTTACTGTACATGTATGTTTAGTTTACGAATAAAAAATGGAAAGGCCAATCAACAGTACAATTTGCGCGTGATCGCTACTTACCACACGTGCGCGCACCAGTACTACATGTACCTCTGCATACTGTGTTCCCGATCAGTGTAGCATCGCTCTCACCTGTTCATCACGATCATCATGCCCGCAATGTAATCCTCTTTTTATTCCTCAATTATCAAGATAAGTTACCGTTTCATTTTAATAAAAATCGGATCTTTACAGTGTGTATTTATGCATCTACATGTATAACCAATAAAACCCTATGAACAAATTAGACATGTTAAACACTTCAAAGAGAGATCGTTGATGAACTTCTTCCCGTACAAGAACCCTGCATATACAAAGCCTTCTACGCTAACCGAAGTTATTCTTATAAAATAGCAGCTTGTGTCACAAATTTAGGTTTATAAATCGAAATTTAAAGCAGAATAAAATATCAACATTTTAGGGGTAACCAATAGTGGGTTAATTGATCAGTCCGAAGCTCCCGAGCCGACAAAAACGCAACTGCATTTTTTATATCAGCTCGACGGCAGGCGGGTTAAAGCCGGGTACCAGTCACGGACGGCCTCTGTGTAATAGGCATGGAACAGACCTTCACTGGAAAACGCGCACGCTTAGTGCGTGCCCGCCCGCAGCTCGGAATCTTGTATGTGTGTGCACTTTAAACATGTTAAAATTAGACTCCAGAACAGATGAATTACATCTACAAGTACAAAAGTAATGTTGTCTCTCACTTATTTTCCTCGATTTGGCAGTCCATAGTTCGTTTTGAAATTCCTAAGCCCACCCAGACGGATAGATAAGGCCATAAAGAACTTGTAAATGTGAAAAATTAGTTTCTTTAACACGATAAACCAAGAACAAATTAGAACCAAATTTGTGGTCATTTTGTACACAACTTTTACCCCCTGGAGTGGACGTCAGTCGTAATGAAATGAAGACAACGTCCAACCTGGGCTAGGGTACCAACCAACATGGCTAGGCTTGGTGCAACTATGGAAGAACTGCAATGAAGGCATGCTAATGATAGCACCATTCTGACATGTACATGTACTGACCTGCTGACCATGGCCACTGGCATGACTGCACTCATGGCTGATACCGGTGTTATGCCCCAACTATAGCATCA